ATGCCTAACCAGTTTCTGATGCAAGCCCTTCTTTCATCCGTCCCTTCCGTGCGAGAAGGGAGCGCTCTGTCGAAAGGGAAAGGCCAACTCGCAGGTTGCTTTAATGAGCGCGTCCTTTGCGTTGTCGCCTCGTTCCCTCTCTCCCTCGTCCACTTTCCCGCTCGGCTTTCTCTCTCTCTCATCAGCTCTCAATGGGGGTGTGGCAAAGCGTGAAGTGTCAATTCTCAAATAAAAAAAAAACTCGCAATGCGCAGTACACCTGCAACTTCGCGACCTGTTTTAGATTTTTGTATTTTTTCTAATACATTCTAACGATAATCTTTCGTTGAGTATGAACAATGATCACACGTGCAATAATCTGTTTGTCGTATGTGGCTCTGGCCCACAGATGTGCTCTTTATGCGTCAAAGACCGTATGCGTCCGCAGTGCTTCTGTCCGACGCCTTAACGTAGCTGCGGCCACGGTGCTCGGAGGCTGACCCCGAGGTCGCGGGTTCGATGCCAGCCGTGGTGGTCACATTTTATATGAAATCCCGGCTGCGGCGGCTGCATTTCCGATGGAGGCGGAAATGTTGTAGGCCCGTGCGCTCAGATTTGGGTGCACGTTAAAGAACACCAGGTGGTCAAAATTTCCGGAGCCCTCCACTACGGCGTCTCTCATAATCATATAGTGGTTTTGGGACGTTAAACCCCACAAATCAATCAATTCAACATTTTATACGAAGGCGAAATTCCACAGGCCCGCGTGCTGAGCGATGTCAGCGCTCGATAAGAACCCTTAGGTGGTCGAAATTATCGCAGCCCTCCAGTACGCTGTCTCATAACGATATCGGGGTTTTTAACGTAAAACATCAGCTATTAATATTAGTACACAGTGCGTATGTTTTATGCGTTTGTTTATTTTTCTATTATTGCTTCGTGCTTGTTTTCGGGTTTTTTTCAGTATCAAATGATGATGTTGATACGCGTGCTCCAGCGTAGCCTATAACTGCGCATGTTTCATGAGCAAAAATCGAAAAAAAAGAATAATAAAAACAAATGCATTGATTTAGCTGACTCTGTGGGAAATGGTAGTGATTGCCAGAGCGCGCATCCATTGTAGCATTCCACACACGAGTGCGTCTTAGGCGACGCGGCGGTCGCACAAAGGTGGCAAGGTCGGTCGTGATCAATTCTATAAGCTTCAAGATTTTCCTAGTAACATTTCTTTTGGTGGCCGTCCCTTGTAATGTACTTTGTGCGATTTTTCTCTCTCGTTATCACCCGTAGCTTCATTGCGAAGATGGAGCGAAGCGCCGATGAAGCACAAAAAAAAAAACAGAATTTCGAATGGAATCGAATGGTGGTACACAGAGGAGCTATAAAGTGTATAACATTTGAGATGTCTAACCTGGATTATGGTGCATCTCGTATATAATCGCTTAGCATGCGAGAATGGTAAGGAACTATCATCGTCTCCGGCTGCGGTGGACTCAGGTTGCTGCTGCTGCTGGTGATGATAGTCGCTTGGCACCTTGACAAGCCGAACTCCCTCACTCACTCACTCATCATATCCCGGCTGCGGCGGCTGCATTTCCGATGGAGGCGGAAATGTCGAGGCCCGTGTGCTCAGATTTGGGGGCACGTTAAAGAACTCCAGGTGGCCGAAATTTCCGGAGCCCTCCACTACGGCGTCTCTCATAATCATATAATGGTTTTGGGACGTTAAACCCCACAAATCAATCAATCACTCACTCAATCAATCAATTAATTAATCAGTCACTCAATCAAACAATATGTCAATTGTCTTGTCAGAATAGTCGCGGAAGCTGGCTCCATTCATCTTGGGACTGTGGCTTTGTGGCGGTTATGTAGTAAAGGAAATGTGACTCGAAAAGTTTCAGCTATTTATTTATTTTTTGCGTGCAATGAAAGTGCAATTCAACTCTCAGGAACCTTAGAAATTGTATTCAACTCTGAAGTTTTTAAAAGCTAGTTTTGGTTCTTACTGTACCCTGTTGTCGAAACACGGCATCAGCTTTTCATTGCGAACGTGCTCGCGCGAGATACCGCGATGTTTCCACGACCACTCACGCGGTGGCTCCGTTGGTGACGCACAAGCGGTCATCTTGGAAGTTTAGGTACCTGACGTCATCGCAGCTAGCAAAACTGCCGCACAAAGTCACCAGGATTAGTAGTAATGCAGTCTGACGTCAAGCTAGTGTCGATGTCGGTTGGTGCACCTTGGTAAAAATTGACTTCAATACCAAAATAAAATAACTCATCATTTGCTGAACGTCACAGTTGGTCAGAAGCGTCTCTGTATGCCGGAGATTTTTATATGGACGGTGAAATGCGAAGAACATTCACGTGCTTAGATTTAGGTGCACGTCATTGGGGAACCACGGGTGGGTCCAAATTAATCTGGAGTCGGCCCATTACGGTGTGCCTCGTACCCGAGTTTCGGATCGTAAAACCCTAACAGTGACGTATTATAGTGTTAAAAGGCCACACGTAGCAGGTGCGTGCACGCCAGTCCACGCTTGTGGCGTAGCCAAGGCGGTGGTCCTTAAAAGTTCGTCCGCATCGGTGGCTGTGGGGCACACGAGTCAAGAGCGCGAAATTAGGCGAACGCGTCCTGAGATGCCTCGTGAAACGAGAAATTTGACCGTCGGTGTCGACCGTGTCCGGCGTCAGGGGTGAATGTTGCAAAAAGTCATCGTCACGTGATGACATCACAATGTCCTCGCAAGTTTATGACGTTAAAACGACGTCATTATGACGTCAGGTCGCGCGATCACATCATCACATGCCATGCGTAGCACATAGAGGAAGGAAAAACTGAGGAGAGGAACATGACGTCATATTCGTGAAGCTGCCGCATCGCAAACACCCGCACTACCCCCTAGCGGAGAAGCAGATAAACACATCGCGATTTCCGGCGAGCAGGCGCCGCAGCGGCCTTGGAAGCGGCGCCGGCGGAGTGGTAGGTGTTCTCTGCCGGCAGCGAGTCAATTCAGGAGTGCTGCTTCTTTTGCGTGTTTTTTTTTTTAAAGGAAAGTTGTGCGATGCCCAGCTGTATAGTGTATACTCGGTGCGAATCGCGTGCTCCGCCGGATGTACCTGGTGGCACCTTTCACGTATGTTTGCTTCTCTGTTGATCAATAATTCATGGTACTTGCACGCGGAGCTCTCAGCTGTACGCTCCGTTGGTTCTTACTCATTGCGTCAACTGAAAATACACGCAAACTTTCGTTTTCCGTGTTTTAGGCATCGTGTCGCGTTTTCGGAAGTTGTGTCGTTCATTCGAAAATACAATAAAATTTTCTTGTTAGGGGACTAAACGTGTATGTATTGTAGTGTGCGCGCTCGCTGCGCGTTAGTTGTGTGCGCACTGGAATTACACACTGTACGTGCATGATCGCGTATACAATACAGTGGTGCCTTCTTATAGACGTGAAGTACGTCAGGCTGGCATTGCACGGAATAGCTACGAAGCAAGCTCTCAAAATCGTGCATTGCCACACTGACACTATCGTGCATTGCCACAACCATCGGGAAATCTAGCTAAGAGAAAAAAAAAAAGCCTTACGGCGAGCAGAACGCGTTGATGATGCAGGGGCTGAATGATTTCGATTACGACATGTATCGGTGCTTTCTCTGCTGTTGCACAAAAACACTCCACGAAGTATTTCAGCACGCCGCGCTCGGGCCTGCCACGCACGAACAGTCTGGGAAAGGCGTGCTGGCAACATTTTGCTGCATGCAAACCATACAATACGGGTTAAGTTTACGCCGGGACTGTAAGTCCGCGCAGAAGCGGACCGTCGCTGAGAAGCACGCCGCGGAGCGTCTGCTGTTTTGTTTGCCCCATACAGTTTGTTTGCCCCATACAGGTTTGTCTGCCCCATAAATTTGACGTCACTTCCGCCACACTTTTAGATGCGGAGCATCTAATACTCGAGGCTTGTAGTGCGGTGCCGTCCGCAAGCTTCCTCCTCCTTCTTCCACCATCTGTGCATCCCTTCCTCCTCTACACACCGCGCGCGCTTCACTCCTCCACCATCTGTGCACCCTTCCTCCTCTACACACCGCGTGCGCTTCTCCTCTTCACGAACATTCGCTAGCTGTATAATGTAGCGCGCATGCGCCGTCACGCTTCGAGAACATCGGCAGCTGACGCGCGCGCATGCGCCGTCGCGCTTCGAGAACATCGGCAGCTGACGCGCGCGCATGCGCCGTTGCGCTTCTCCCTCTTCTCGAACATTCGACAGCTGACAGTGCATGCGCCGTCGCGCTGTATATATACTCAAGGTCGGTGCTCACTCGCTCAGTTGCCGCTCGTCGGTTGGTTTGTACGGCGCGTCGACGTCCGAGGTCGCAATGATCGACGTCCCTTCGACCAGCGCCGGCCAAAGTGTTGGCGGAACCGCTCAAAGTTCGTCGCAATAAATAAACACCGCCCTTTCGCATACGTGTCGTACGTGTTCACTCATTTAACACCCCTCCACAACCACGTTAACCAATTTAGCCAGCGACCGAAGTAAGTCGCAATTTACCACCCCATTTCACAACCACGTTAACCAATTTAGCCATCGACCCAAGTAAGTCGCACTTTAACACCCCTTTAACCAATTATATGCTCCGCATCCTCCTCAGTGTTCCCCCGAGGGAAGCTGCGGGCAATTTTTTTGCAATGCATTGGGATACGATAGGTCCTCTCAGTTTTTTTTCTTCCTTCATGCCGTAGCTTGGTCAAAGGTTGTCCGATCACGGAAGCAATGCCACGGCCGCTGGATCAAAGCGCACAGGGCGCTTTGATCCAGCGGCCGTGGCAATGCACAGCCATCATTGGTTCAGAAAGCTTTAAAAGTGTGACGGGACAGGATCACTGCATCAGCTGAGAAGAAAAGCACGGTGGCTCTTGCTTTATACAGTCGTCTTAAGTGAATGATGTAGTGTTGATTCGTTCGGCATGTGCCGTTGATGTAATAACGCTCACTCTTTTGCAGTTGGCGTGCCTTGGCGGTGCCCTATGCGGTGCTGCTGCTGGTCCGCCATGTGCCGTGCTGGCCGAAGCTGAGGGGCGAGGCTCCTCCCCGTCGCTGCCCTAGCAGTGCCATGCGGGCCCGACCCCCGCCCACTTCCATCCAGGGAGTGCCGGTGAGTGAAAATCCTAGCTAAATTTCTGACTCTAACATGTTTGTAAACAGTGGTATAGGCGTCTTCGACATACTGAAGCGCTTCTAGCGACCGCAGAGGCTTCGCCCTGCCCAAAGATCGCCCTCTGTCATCACTTGACCGACGCGCTGTGCTCGGAGGCATGCAGATTCGCAGTTGCTGTCGAGTTGTCACGATGATCATATAGCGAGCTTTGGACAGGGCGGAGACCAAGCTCCACGACGTCGCAGCAAGCGCCTCAGTGTGTCGACGGCGCCTGTTTACAAACACGAAATAGGCCTCTCGGAAAGTGTCTCCGCTGCAGAACGGATAATCATTTCTCCCCTTTTTTTCACAGACAGCTGTGAAACGTTCACAGCGTGCAATGGTTTCTTGCTGATGCTCTTTAATGTTGCCCCATATGTCCTAAATGCTCCGAACCGCCACAGATACGCGTTATACCTGCTACTAAATTCAGAGCCAAAACTGGTGCAGCTAACGGCAGCACCGAAACGGACGAGGAGGTAGTCGACTGCGCGCACGACAGCAACATTTGGCTGATGTGTTCCGTGTGTATGTGCCAACGAGCGTATACGTATTTTGCTTCGCCAGACCCTAGGTGTGGTTCAAGATTGTTTGTTACGAACGACGGGAAATTATTTCGTCGAGGGCCCCGCCGTGGTGGTCTAGTGGAGGTACTCGGCTGCAGACCCGCAGGTCGCGGTATGAAATCCCGGCTGCGGCGGCTGCATTTCCGGTGGAGGCGGTAATGTTGTGTATAGGCCCTTGCGCTCAGATTTGGGTGCACGTTAAAGAACCCCAGGTGGTCGAAATTTCCGTAGCCCTCCACTACGGCGTCTCTCATAATCATATGGGGGTTTTGGGACGTTAAACTCCACATATCAATCAAATCATCAATTAATCATCATTCTTTCGTCGAAAGTGACTGAGCGAAGACATTAGAAATAGCGTAACAATTTCCTTGTGTCTCGGAAAGTGCTCTCGCATTATATGCGTGCACTATATCCAGAACGTCTGCTATAACATACTTCAAAATGAAGGTGCTCTCAATAAAGCTTGGTATCAACGCAGTGGGCCGCGGCACGCCCGCTGCCTCGGTATTTCTTCCCGTGTATACAAGTTGGTCCAGCCTTCGGACGATGCGACCCGAGCGGCTATAGCGGGCACCGGAGAGTTTCTCGGACTACCACCTTGTAACTCTCCTTCCCGAGCGAGCCGACCGCTGTCGCAGTCGTTTGCGCACCGCGAGAGGCGATTAGTCATCGCTGCGTTTGGACTCTTTTGTTTCACCCCGCGCTCTGGTGTCTCTGTGTACCGCAGTGCGCGGTCGCTTCGGCTGGCTGCTCTTGATTAGGGGTCCCAACAGAGAAACGGACAAGCTCGGGAGGGGAGAGAGAAAAAAGAAAGCAAGAGTGGTAGAGGCTTCCGAAAGAGGGAAGGGGTTGACGTCTCTAATGAAATAGCTCGGTGAGCCACACTGCGAGCACAACCCCGTTATCATGAGGCTGGATTTATGGGCAGCAAAAAAAAAAAGGGGGGGGGGGGGGTTTAGGCGCGAAAATAAAAAAAAAAGGCAGGTGAAACACAGTTTCATGGCCGAGAAAGCGCCGGCACAATAAATTTTGACAGAAACTGAAATTTTCGAAGAAATGCGTGTGGGACTTGTGTATCCGTCACGAAAGCAAGAACATGAAATGTTTTACGTTATGATGCTACAAAGACACCAACGGTTTAGCATAGTCATGCATTTCTTCCACACTGTTTCCAAAACACGATTCCTCCTTTTAATAAATCTTTTTGTTGGGCTAGTTAGTACATGCTTACTGAAGAAAAAAAAAAGACGCGTAATACCGAAGAAGAAACATTAAGGACGGAACATTTTATGGGGAGTTAAACGTTTACCATCGAATAAAGATGCTCCTGGCTATCTTTCTTCCCGGCATGGCTTAGAAGGGTAGCACACGAGCAAATATCAAGGCCACTATGGCCAGAACAATCTTCTAGCCTCTTGTTAACCGGGTGTAATCACACAGAATCAATATATCCTTGTCTGTGAACACCTTAAAGGGTCCCTCACGAGGTTTGAGCTTTTCGGGTGCTCTAACTAGGTTTGAGCTTGCACTGGGCGCTCACAATCTCGCCTACCAAGATTAGCAACACTACGCTCCCCAGAAAGAGGTGAAATGTCGGACTATACTCTGCACGCCCATCATCTCGCGCGCCCCAACATGGTGGAGGTGACGTGTATACAGCAAAGAACGGTCCAGCGTTTACGTCAAAGTAGCACGTGACACTGCAAGAGTTATTCGATGCGACGTGTGCTATTTGTGCAATCTGTTGCTTGAATAGAAGTATTAAGGTTGACAGAAATGTCAAAACATACAAACAGAATGTGCGCGCGTCATTTTTAACTTCTGCTCGAGCAAGATGCGAGGACTAAGCTGCCCGAATTTCGTTAGCATTTGGTGTTCTCGCATCGTGCTGGTGCCTACACTGCCAATGATTGGCGTGTTTTCGGTGCGTCGTCCCTCAGATACGTTTCAGCGGTACGTGCGACGCTCTCAGAGTATCGTGGTAAAGATACATGATCCACGCCAGCCTCTCCAAACGTTCGCGCATACAGGGATGCATTCTACAGGAACAGGCAGTGCAGTACACAGAACGCCGTAACGCCGCAACGCCGCTTGTGTGCACGGCCTGCAGCCAGAGCATGTATGTCATGCGAATGTAACCCTGCGTGCGCATGATGCCTAGTATCTGCGTCGTGTGATCTTCTCTGGCTCTGAGTTTCTCCGATACCGATGAGGGCAGGCAAGGAAGTTTGCTTGTGAAGTCTACAGCGCGCGAACGGCAAAAGTTTCGAGCTCATCTACTCGCATCATGCTTTCGCGGCTCCTAATGAGCCAATGAAATATATATATATATATATATATATATATATATATATATATATATATATATATTCTGGTACAAAGCTTCTCATTCGGCGCGCAAAAACTTCCAGTGTCAAATCGAAATTTATCATGCTATCCAGTGAAGCACCGTTTAAGAAGTAAATGACACACATAATAAAACCATGTGGACGCCTGTCCCCCCCCCCCCCCTTTTTTTTTTTACCTACCCTCTAGTTTCTCTTGATGGCACTCCACGGTGTCACGTGCGATAAGACGCCGGGGAGATTCCGAGCAGACGACACGACACGAATGAATACATACATACATGTTGATTGACGATTGATATGTGGGGTTTAACGTCCCAAGACCATCATACGATTTTGAGAGACGCCGTAGTGAAGGGCATCGGAAATTTCGACCACGTTGCATACATACATGTGTTGAGGCTAATCGGCCTTCGTATTGGCTGAGGGGCCCTGCAGCCTTGACAGTGCTGAAAGGAACTTCTAAATTGGAGTATATGTTACACCCCATGGAGTTCCGAAAGCTCAATTTCGCTCGGTAACATGAATATCGGTCCGGTCTACAACTGTACCCGCAAGCGAAATTTGAGGCTAAATAGTGTTCATATAGGCACCGATCCTGAAAGTAGGCATTTATAGGCACTTATAGGAATTTAGGCACAAACGTCGAAAATAGGCATTTATACCCACTTACAGGAATTTAGGCACAAACATCGAAAATCGGTATTTATAGGCACTATAGGAACACTGCAAAAGCCTTTCTAAACCTCTAATTCATGATCATATATCAAAGTGGCATGGCAGGAACGCAAGAAACTAAATAGGCATTTGCCTATAATCCGGTCTCTAAATTCATGACCATTCCCGGCGGGGAAAACCCGGGTGGGTGTTCGCGTTCATCCCGTTTTTGTTTGTTTGTTTGTTTGTTTGGGGGGGGGGGGGGCTTTTTGTTGTGAGCCGCTGCTGTAGGCGAGGAGGATGGCGTGCTAAGTCAATCGGAGGAGGATGGTCAGGTAGGGTCCTGCTCTTTCCCTCTAGTTCACGCATATAGCCGTGATTGCAGGAAGGTGAGTGTGGGGTGCTGCATTCGGACCCGCCAAACGTGCGGGCCCTAGAAGGCATGCCTCCTCTGCTGCTCTCGGCATGCGCCGCTTCAACAGCGACGCGGCGCGCAAGCTCACCAGCAAACCCGTGACAACGTGCTTTCTTTTGGCCGCGTGGCAGGTTCCCTGGGGAGTGTCCCAGAACGACCTCGAGGCCGTGGAGGACATCCTGTCGGCCACCTCCCTCGGTGAGTAGCCCCTCTCTTTTTGCCTTGCACCTATAGCTCTCACTTTATCTTGTCCTCGCGGCTTTGCTGACCTCCACATGTGCTTCATTCGGCAACAAACGATGCGCGGTTACATCATCTCGCAGTGACTGTCGTGAGGATCTCAAACGTGCGGTCCGTTGCCTACCTACATGACCGTGTTCGTGCCAAAACGTTTCGTGAGACGCTCCGTGCACTCTTGCTGCAGGAACTCTGGATTTCAGAATCGTCGCCCAGATTTCAGTCATTCTGAACATCAATGGCCGACATGTTTCTCGGCGCCTGACTTCAAATCCCCTTGAAAAATGACCCTCACGAACGAGATATGGCAAGGCCCTCTTCAAAGGGCAACGTTACCTAGAATTTGATGAAAAAATATCTTTTCGACATGTCGGCTCACTGGGAGACGTAGTTTCGTGGTTGCGGCCCGCTAGCTGATGTGAGGTTTAGACGCCGGTACCTTACGGAGTAGTACTCTTTACTGTCACTTTTACTTGGAATGACGTACTTTAACTCGCCGAATCATCGTTTCTGGCGAATACAGTCCGCATCGGAGAAGAACCGAGTTTAAGCCATGATAAACTTGGGTAAATGCTTCGTTGTACAACTCGCCATGTAAATAACCGAAAATTACGGCTGATTACTAGTAGTCGGCTTTCCCCTGCAATGCCTAATATAGCGGGGAAGCCACCTTGGAGAAACACGTTCTTGCTCCGCACGGGTGGTATACAATCGCGTGGGTGGTTGTGCTGTCGACTTTCCTGCACGTGCGCTAAGTTTCCTATATCAACGGCACGTTCAAAACTGAGTCGAATGAAGGCTTAGACACACAAGTGTTGTGTCTACGCTTATTCTGCGACCCTGTTTTTAGCGCGCCTGCTGCTGCGTGTTGCTGAGCCACGAATGAACACGAAGTGTTTCTGTATACCCTCTTCAGTGCATTACTCGCGTAAGCTACGAAGGAGCGGAACACAGCGAGACAAAACATTTCCAGACGCACAGGCGTGGGTTCGCTCTCTGTGCCTGTTATAGTGTCCCGTGTTTCCTCTTCTGCTTCTATAGGATCGCGCTACGCCTAGCGTAACCTGTTTCCTTTGTGTAATTGGAGCGCCACTGGCGTGGAACGAACTTTTAATAAATTGTAACGCGACACTCTAGCCAACGCGCATGTGTCAACAGCAACTTTACGAGCAATTCAAGCGATTCGTAAGAGTGACGTTTGCCCTACCGAGTTCGTTCTTTATCCGTGACATCAAATCTTTATCTTTATCCGTGACATACACTATCTTTATCCGTGACATACAAATACAGAGAGAAGAAAGACGAAGGCGGGGAGGTTGACCAGGACTGAGCACTGGTGACATACAAAATTCTATACGGGTAATATGCTACACGAAGATACTGTTGCGTGATTTTACCTTCCTTGCGTTATTTGTTAGCGTGCCTTTGTGTCAACGTGTGTAGTGCTCTGTAAGTGCATGCTGGCTGTTTGTTCACTAGTCTTGTGGACTACAGAAAACTTGTGATCACTCACGTATAACGCTCCTCCCTGTGTCTCCTAAACAACCTGTCGCCTCGCCCCCAAAACATCCGAGACGTGGCCCGTCTAAGCGTGTATCTTGGATCGATGCTCGTAAATCTGTGACTGCTGACGTCACAGTTTATGCGAAATTGTCGGAGAACACTGTGACGTCGCCTGCCGATGCGGGAGTCAGGGATTATTCCGTTTGCAGAGACGGTGGCTCAATCTAAAACGTAATTATGGCTGCTCTAGAAAATATTTATTGGAATTAGATGCCTATGTTATGGTTTATTTAGTGACCGGCTGCTACTGTTCATATTCAATGTAACTATACATATAGGCGTGTTAGTACTTCAAGGCTGAACATTAAAATGAGATTGGGGTCTTTAGCGTGCGAAAAACCAGAATTTTCATTTCACAACCACAGGATTATGAGGAAGTCATAAAGGGGAACTCCGGTTGGATTTTGGCTGCCCGTGCTTTATTTTAACCTGCACTAAATTTAAATCATTTTTGCATTTCGCTTGCATACATACGCGGCCGCGGTGACGGGCAATGACGCCCGGGACCAATGCCGTAGCCACTTATCCACCACTTCAGGTTTACTGACTGTAAGAGTGTGTATGGAAGCAGCTACTTAAATATGATTTGCATATCCGTGTACAGAATGTCCCCAATCGTTCGAGAAAGATGCCGATGCGAACTACATCCTCATCCTTCCCGTGTGTTAGAAAGAAAACTGCAGCGCAATTTTGTCTTGCCCTCTATATAGATGAGGCACGTTTGTTATCGCCTCGGGCATGCTTGTGTACAACTGAGTTACGCGTTCAGCGGCGACTGATACGAAGTGTGCGTGTAGCCTTCGCACGAACGCACTAGGGTCGCTTAAACTTGCGCTGTTTGATTAACGCTAGGACAAATGAGACACGAATAGCTAGTTACCTGCACGCACCGATCAAAGTGGGATGCATCGGGTACAGGGATTAGGGAACACACCATCGAGTTTGCTTTTGTACTTTTCCAGAGCCTAATCGTAGTCAAAGCGAACGACAATACTGCTTGTATTATAGGTGGCTGGTCGCCGACGTGGCTGAATAGTACTTTCGCACTAGCGAAAGTCCAGAACGTGTCGCAAGGGCAATCTGTTTTACTGCCCATGTTTCACGTGCTCGGTGTGTTTAATGTACTTCATATTTCGCAACCTAACTGAGAGAATAAACGCTTTCCTTTCGCCGATGCACCGGTCTCGGCATTTTTCATCCCTAGTTTTGAAATAAATAACGCTCATCTCTGAACAGGCAGACGTCGATGAGACTCGTCAGTTGTATCTGCGCCGACATTCACGCCGGTTTCTGTACTTATCGCGTCTGTAACCCGCGGGAGAGCCGTCACTCGCATTCTTTATGACCGGACGGCGCGTGGCGCCGTGTTGCGCAGCGTGCCACCGTCGTGACGAGTGGATTCCAGCCGCAGGCGTATGGTGTGTACCTGTTGAGGACCCCGACGAAGCCTCCAGGCCAGCACGCGCATCGATACCCGAAAGAGGGCGTGTCGTTGCGCGGCGCCGTTCGGATGGAAGTGGGCCATTCCGCTGTTCAGGGGTGGCGTCACGTCTCGTGGCGCTTCTTCGTCACGTCGGTCGCTTCCCCGTCCTTCAATCATTGTTATACAAAACTAACCGGCCGGGTTTGTTGTTGTTGTTGAAAAGGACGCTGCTCCGTCCCCCCCTTTCCCGATTAGCCCCGAGGTGCTCGCTACTGGCTCCAGGACGGCGTCGTCTTCTGCTGGCGGCCTTCCTCGGGTCGGCTCCGAGCAGTCAGGGTGGGCCGCCATGGCTCGCCTCGGTCGGCGCGCCGCCTGGCGGCGTTGCCGAGGCCCCTTAAACGGCGGCGGCCGCTGGCAGCAGGGCTGGCCAGCCCTGAGCGGCGAGAGGTCTTTCTTGATGAGCGCCTCTGACAGCCGGGCCATCTGCCGTCGGGTGAAGGAGGAGGGTGGCGAGATGTCAGTCGCGTGGTGGAATGCGGCGGCCCCTCGCTCGCGATCTTCGATATCGTGGAGCTTGTCGCGCACTGTGATTTCGGAGCCCGGCCGAAAGAGTCGAGGCGCCTCCAACAGCTGTCTTACTGATTACAGGCGCACAGTGCTGCGCAGCGTTCTTTTCAACGTTGCCAAACGCAAACACGGCCCCGTCACGCGACAATATCCCACGTCGAGACAGAGAGCCCTGTCAGGGCTACCCGGCCATTTGGCCGCCGCCCGGCCTAACCTAGAATTAGCGCCCGGGTGTCGCGCATTCCTTTCCTCCTTTCCGGCCTTGGGGACCGCGGTTCTCTTCTTTCTCATTGTGTGACAGCCGTCAGAAGGATGGCGAGGGAAGTTGACTCCTGTCGCTCCTCGGCCACCGCCACCACCTGGCTTCTTCGGCTCCCTCTCTTCTGGTTCGCAAAGTTATTCTTCCGCGTCCCTTCTTTTTGCACTTGCGCGGTCTTTCTTTTCTCCTTCGCACTCCGCGGAGAGTTCTTTGTTGTTGTTTGCTTGTTTGTCTTCCTTTTTTTCCCGCAAAAAGAGAGAGAGAGAGAGATAGCGAGCGACAGGCCTTGTTCGAGAATGTCTAGGGCACGTCTCCTGGTTTCCGTTATTTGCTCTTTCGACGCCACTGCCGTCGCTCTCCGCTGGCCTGATGTTTTCTTTTTTTTTCTCTCTCTTTTGGTATTTTCCATTATTTAACTGGTGGACACATGACCCTCCATGGTCGTTGCACTTTTTTACTCGTGCAGCAAGGGTCTGCCTTCAACACCGAGCAGTGGTCATCCAGCTATCATTGCCGTAGTTATTTTGACTTACCGTTGATGCTGGTCCATGCATAATACAAACCACAGACGAGTGCCCTTAGGTTCTGGGTACGCAGTGCACTACTTGTTAAAGCGCACATGAGTTACTGTACATGGCTCCCCAGCCTTATAGGATAAGCTGATCACTATATCAATGGCGAAGGTCAAAGTTCTGGTCAGTATATCCGCGCACAGCTTGATGGAACTATAATACCATTCTGAATCACCCAAGTTAAACAAACGAAAAAAAAAGAGGAGGAGGAAGGAGAAGTTGGAAGCTTGAGATAAAAAATTGGCAAACCGGGGGTGTTTGCTGAGCCGATGTTTCAAACATTGGGGCTATCTTCAAAACTTGCTATTACCAGAGTCCTTCGATGTCAATGAACAGTGGCCCGGCTGTTAATTTTTTTTTATTTCCAGAACTTTTCAGTAGAGCACTGTCTTGGGGCACTGCGTGGTCGCGCTGAAAGAAAGCCCGCAGTCTAGCATGACAAGCAGCTAATGGCTGAAGAACTGTGAATGCGACTCTATGTTCAAGACAGTCACGCATTGTGTGAATCAACAGGGTCGCCTAGAATGCACGTTGGCCGTTAGTAACAGGTCTTCGCGTTGCTAACCGAAGTCGTCGG